TGGATCATAGAGCTAAAACTATAAAATTCATAGAACACATAGGAGTAAATCTTTGTGACCTTGAGTTACGCAAAGACAAGTGTTGTCAAGAATGTGGAGAAATTGGAACCTCAATCATTTCCAGTAGCAATATAAAATGTTACCACCACTTTGGAAAACACTTTGGCAGGTTCTCAAAGTATTACCATACAACCCATCAATTTCACTCCTAGATATGTAACCATGAGATTTTTTTAAAACATGCACCTGTGCAAAAACTTGTACATGAATGTTCATAAACGCCATTATTTTCATAACAGCCAAAAAGTTGGAAACAACCCACACATTTGTTAACTGGTGAGTGGAAAAACAAATGATGTACGTTCATACAATGAAATACTAATCAGTCACTAAAAGGAAGGAAGCACTGATCCATGTTACAACACAGATGAACCTTGATGACATTATGCTAAGTGAAAGAAGCTAGTCACAAAAAACCACAGATTATAATTCCATTTATATGAAATGTCCAGATTAAGCAAATCTAGGGACTAAAATTAGCTTAGGGCTAAAGGACTTGGAAGGAGGCTATTTTTCATCTGTATGTGTCCTCCAATTTCATCTTTAAAAAGCATAAAATAATGAGTCTGATTTCAGAAGTCAATCTATTCAACTTGAGATGTATTTGTAGAGTAACAAAGAGTTTTTATGCTAATAATGGAACCATCAATTCACCTTTGTGGAATTTGTGACTGTGGCTCATTTGAAACCCAGATTTTATAAATGCCACATTGTGACTCAGGCAGTCCACTAGGAAGGACAGGCTGCTATAACACGGACTTCAACCAAATGAAACAAAATAATAAGATGATATTAATATTTTTTCCATGTTAGAGTGTTAAAATAATGTTGCTCTGATGGATCAAACCAAGAAAATGAAGCCTGAAATTCTTCCAAGATATGGACATTTTTAATTGCATTATCCTATGGATAGTGATTGTGTTTTAAAGCAGAAACAGAATGATTTGGAAGAAAATGAAGGTTGTATTTCCTATTATGATGAGATATTTTTACCAGCAATAAGGATATTCTGGGTCCCAATTTAGCAGGAAAGCAAAGAAGGAAGTCAAAAGGACACTGAATGGGAAAGAAAAACGTTGACACATTAGAACAGAAGTCTATCTCACCACCCCACACAAATCCTGCTGGATGGAAAATGGAGAACAGAGCCGAGCAGATCAATTCCTTTTTCTCCCTTGGGACCTCTCTGGGCTGTGGCTCCTGCATACATCCTTCTGAGCTACAGCTGCTCTTCCTCACAGCATGGCATGAAACAGAAACCAGCACGACCCATCTAAAGAGGGCAGGGTGAAAACCCGCAAAAGCTCCCACTCTACCCTTCTCAACACTAAACTAATAAACTAAGTCCACAAATCTTGAAAATGTTGGGCTTTTAACAAATTGGATTCAACAATCAATTGGAAATGATTAAATTTTTTAAAACTTTTTTTACAGAGGCACTCTGTGGATGACCATTTATTTGCTTGCCCATCACAAATGGTTAAATGAAAATTAAGACGAGTCAAGAATGAACGTTCTCTTATACAAAGAGAGGGAAGAGGAGGGGAATCCTTTCATATTCCCAGTGCTCAGAGGGAAAAGTAATTTTTCAGGAGTATAAATTATGCCACAAATATAATACAGAATTAATACTGGGCAGTAGTAAGTAGGGCATTAACCGGAATGCCACGTATGCTAGGCAGAACTTGGTTCAGTCAGTCCACAAATAAACAAATACTGACTAATTAACACATGCAAAGCACTACACTGAGCATTATCCTCCTTGGAGGGCACAGATCTATGTCTTTATATTGTCAAATCATAAATCCAAAGAGATTTTGTTTGTTTAAAATTATAAGCACTAAGGAGAACAGTAGCATATTTCTACAAAGATAAGGAGGGATAATAAAACGCACTGGACTCCAATAATTAATGAGACAGAACAAACAGCAATAGGCACAAGCAACAGCAGGGAATTTATTTTTAGATCAAACATTAGGCAACGTCATTACAAGCACGATTAAGTCCAGCAATAAGCCGCCAGAACGACTGAAAAATTGCCATCACTGGAGAGATGCAAGACTGCACCAAGGGACACAAGACAAGGACAGTCTGAGGATAACTAAATCAGGCCTTCGAGGGTTAGAGGGATCGATGACCACAAAGACCACGTGGATGTTGCTCACATTCTCTCCACAAATCTAGATTCTAAAAAGCATTCACCTGAAATTATCATCCAAAACTCAATTGTTCAACCCTGAAGCAATGCTATGGAGTTATGCCTTAATACTAATAATTATAATAACATATGACACTATCATATATAATACTAATATAATATATAATGTGATGCTTTTTGAAGTACAGCCATACCATATAGTCATATTATAGATATCTATAACCTTTAATAGTCAAATTTTAGGAAAAGAAATTATAATAATTAGAAATACCATCATATAAAAATTTTTCTATTGCAGTTTTGCTTTGAGATGGTAAGTGGGCCAAATTACAAACCACAATAGTCACTTCAGTGTACCAAATTTCATCAAAAGCAGTCAACCTCTGGAATATTATATTAGAATAGGTAGGTAAATATCAAACACTCTGCTTACATCATACAGAAATCTCCCTGTAGAAACATGGTATTATCAAATGAAAACAGCAGGTTATAAAGAATCTTGATCCTACTGACATGTAATTATCAACACACACATAGCGAGATACCTGAAGCATGGTCATCTAAAGTCAATAGTGGGAATAGCTGGGTAGTAAACTGTGGATAAGTTTACTTTCAACTGTTATGGCTTTTGTGTGGTTTCCCTATCAGGACAAAACTATAAAGCTCAGGAACCAGACTACTGGATTCAAATTTCAGCTTTATACCTTATTGACTGTGTGATCTCGAGCAAGTTACTTAACCTGTCTATGCCTCTGTGACCTCACCTGTAAATGGGGATAGAAACAGTCCCTACCGCAGGGTGCTGTGCAAGAACTAAATGTGTTAGTGCACAGAAGGCACTCAGAACAGTGCATGGGACAGAGCAAGCCCTCAGGACACATCAGCCAGTAGTAGAAGTAGTAGTACTGCTAATATTAAGCCAGCTATTTGTAAAATAGCTTATTACGCTCATTAAAAGTGGCTGCAAAAGCAACCATTTCATTTACCAAAAGTAAAATGGGGAGCAAGAAAACTTCATTGCTTAAGTTTAAATAACAACCAAAACCAAAAAAACTAGCAGAACTACAAAGAATACAAAAGTATGTAACAAAGAGGTCCCTAAGAAGACATTTCTTCCTTTAATCCGTGCCCCTCATTTCAGGAGTCAGCATGCACAGCTGACTGACAGAGTTGAAGAGGTGCTTCAGGCAGTGGCTTTGTGTATGCAAGTCTGTCCTCTTAATTTAATGGCAAAATAGAAGACATTCTAACGAGGTTAGCATTTGTAGGCCAGGAGATTTGTCCTAATTTTTTTTAAAAAGAAATTTTTTAAATGCTTTCATCTACAAACGCTGGAAAGTTAGTTTTAAATGAGGATTTATATAAAATGAAAATTATATAAACACACACTTGATTTGTTAGGAGCTGATAATGAAAATGATGGATTATCCTGAACCTTGGATTCTCTTCCTTTGAGGGAGAGAGATAAACAGAGTAAGTGCTCTGGCCGGGTGGCTCAGCTGGTTGGAGCGTTGTCCTGTACACCAAAAGGCTGCGGGTTCAATTCCGGAGGTCAGGGCACATACTTAGGTTGCAGGTTCCATCCCTGGTCAGGGCAGGTATGGGAGGCAACCAATCAATGTTTCTCTCTCATATTGATGTATCTCTCCCATACTTATCTCTCTCTCAAATCAATAAAAAAAATATCCTTGGGGAAGGATAAAATATATATAAAAATAAAAAAATAAGCAGAATAAGTGAATTAAATAGTATATTAGAAGGTGGTAAGAGCTACAGAGGGAGGGAAAAAGAGGAAGTTTTGACCATTTTAAATGGGGCAGGTAAAGAAGGTGATCTTTGTGTTTGGATCAGACAAGGGAAAATTCAACCTATCTTACTCCATAAGTATTTGCCCTGATGAAAGTTTTAATCAAGCTAAAAGCTCTCAGTTAAGACAAGGTATTGGTTATCCCTGTGCTCCATTTATTCTGACCACCCCTTTCAACTTTGATAATATACATTCCAGTTATTACACAAATTCCATTATAGACACAGTCTGTTGGTATTCATTATTTCACTTTTTAAAACCTAAAGACACGAGTTTCTTAAATAATCTTCTCCATAAATATTTCCAGCAAATAAAAAGAATTAAGAATAAGAGAAAAGTCATCTACTGTTTCTGGTAACCCAACATCCACTCCCTCACTTTCCAGTAAGAGAACCCAGACTTTCTCTGGGGAACTAAGACTACCTGACTTCCAGCCAATGTGATTCAGGTGGAGCTGATAGCCAGTGTATTACCTGGCCCGACCAGTAGGAGCGCCAAATCCCCCAAACTCTGTACAGTGTCAAGTTCAAGAATGAGCACGTGACCCTAATGACCAAAGAGAACCCTCAGGTGCCAAGATGCAGGGTGCAACTCAGGGAAAGAAGTGCTTTCCTTCATTAGGTTGCTAAGGTGGCAGAATGTAGGCCTAGAGCTGCTTGCCACCCTTGGAGAAGGGAAGAAGAGGGTCTGCCTAATGAAGCTAATCTAGAAGTGAGCCTAGCAAGGAAAGGAATAGAGTTGGGTGCCTTTGACAATACATTTGAAGGGCCTGAACTCAGCCCTGCCTTATCATAGGCACTCCCCCTCCCCCTTACATTTTTCTCATAGCTAAAGAGTACATTACTTTTTCTGCTTTAATCATTTCGAGCTGGGTTTCTGTCACTTGCAACCCCTAGAGTCTTGCCAAATACAAAGAAACCTTCAGAAATTGATATCAGCATTTTCCGTAGAAAGCCAACAACAACGTATCCTTACCCGTTCCTGACCAGCAGTATCCCAGATGAGGAACTTATGAAGTTCATTTCCACAAGGCACAGTTTTGGTCATAAAAGATGCCCTGAAAAAACAGAATCAACATCTCCATGTTACCAATTATCCTCTACTATCTTCACAAAGACTTTTGTTTCAAATAAGTTAACATTATGACTCAGCAGGACTCCAAAAGCTCCCAGCATTGTCCTTGTCCTTGGGGGGGATCACTAAGAGGAAAGAAGGGTTGTTAGGGTTCTGTAACCAAAAAGAAAATACTCTGCATTTTCTATAGTCCATCTGGAGGTTTAGAGGGGGGGGTAAAGGCAAAGGATGCATTCAAAACACTATTTCCAAAACCATTTATCTTCAGTTGTTCTAAGATAATATGCCCAAGATCAGAAAACAAAAAATGAAACTGTAGATTTTAAAAACTTATCATTATAACAATTAAGCGTGAAAAGGACAGCTGGTATTTGGGCATTTTCCAGTTTGGGCCTTGCAATGGCACAAGTAAAATATTGCCTTGCCCTTGTCTATGAGGCCTCAGCTGGTTGGGCGTCATCCCATGCACCAAAAGGTTGCTGGTTTGATTCCCAGTCAGGGCACAGGCTTGGGTTGTGGGCTCGACCCCTGGTAGGTGGCAACCAATTGATGTTCCTCTCTCACATCGATGTCTCTCTCTCCCTCCCTCTCTCTCCCTTCCTCTTTCTAAAAAAAAAAAAATGAAAAAGATATATTTTAAAAATTGCCTTACATCTTTACCTATGCTATGAATCCCACACTAGCAGCAACAAAAATACTACTATCTAATTCCCATCCTACTTGCATAAATTCAGGGATAAAGATTGATAGCTTAGCAAAGTTATGCTTTCTCAACAGAAAAAGGACGAATTTGAAATTCTCAGATGATGAAACACTTGGTACTTTCTTTTTTGCATATTTTCTTTATTTCCAGTATTTATAGTTTTATTTCATTTAAATATATTTTTATGTTCTTTATTTTATTATTTTTTCCATCACCATTTACCCCCATATACCCTCTTCCACCACCCACAACCCCCTCCACCACCTAGTCACCACACTATTGTCCCTGTCCATGAGTTTTTTCTCTTTTTGCATATTTTCTCTCAATAAGCTTTTTCTCTGTGCTCATGAAAGACATAAAAATCTAATACCAGAAATGTTTAATACCCTTGACTTTTTGTGTGGATAAGATAAAGTTTCCCCTTCATTAAAAAACAGTAAGCATCCCCAATGGTGGGACAACCAGACATGAGAAGCCTCCCGATGCGATGGAATAAGAAGTACATACATCTACGCAGCATTCTGGCCAAAAGATGTTTAATCTGAGTTTAACCATGAGGAAGCAATCAGGCGAATCTAGGATTTTATAAGGTAACTAGCCTGAATGCTTCAATAAGTCAATGTTATGAAAAGTAAACAAAGGACAGGGAGATGTTCTAGAATCTAGATTAAGAAAGAAGAAAGCAATAAAACCACCAAACGTACCTATCATATGGACCTTGACCGGGTCCTGGATGGGGAGGAAAACAGCTTTAAAAGATATTTTTAGGGCAGTTGGAGAAATTTAAATTTAGACTACATGTCAGATATTATCATTGAATCAGGATTAATTTTCTAGGTATGAATAATGCCCTTATTCTTAGGAGATGCATATTAGAGCTTTTGGGGGTAAAGCCCTGCACCCACTCAGCACTCACCCCAGTGATACTTCAACTTCTACAACTTCACCCTAAGACAAACTGCATGTAGAAAGGAGAAAAGTACATGTCCTTACAACTCCCACACTATTCCCACAACATACATATACACACCAAGGGTTAACAGAGAGTTCTAATTATCAATGGATAATTGCACTAAATGGATATTCTATGTATTTTTCTTATGTGATATGATGAAATACTATCAAGCACAGCCAGGCGTGGCTCAGTGGTTAAGTGTCGACCTAGGATCCAGGCGATCAGGGTTCGATTCCCGGTCAGGGCACATGCCCGGGTTGCGGGCTGCAGCCGATCAATGGTTCTCTCATCATTGATGTTTCTATCTCTCTCTCTCCCTCTCCCTTCCTCTCTCTGAAATCAATAAAGATATATTTAAAAAAAAAAAAATGAAATACTATCAAAAACCACATCTGTCCCATGGCATTTCATATCTTTAAAAGTGCTCAAAATATACATCCCAAACCACTGATAAGAGCAAATATAATTCAGAAATGGAATTATCTTTATTACTTCTCCCATTATAAAAGCAATGTATGTACTTCGCAAAAAAGAAATTAAAAAAAATAAAATTTAACTGTCCATTTCATCACCTAGCCACAATCACTGCTAATGACTTGTTATATGTCCTTCCAAATTATTTTTATACAGCTTTTACCACCAAAATTGATCATACTTTACGTAAATTTTGTTTCTTCTCTATTTTATATATCATGGACATTATTCCATTTCTATAAATGTAGATGCACACCATTATAAAAAATGACTGCATATTATACACCATGTTATAAATTTATTCACTACTCCATTGATAGACATTCGGGTCACCTATTTTCATTATAATGACAATAACTAAATGAATATCCTTATACCTAAATCTGTGGGTCCTTGTACAATTTTTTTGGAGTTAATTCTTAGAAGCAGACATGCTCTACTTTGCTACAGTCACCAAACTGTGGGTTGTACCTACCTACCCATCCACGGCCATGCATGAGACCGCCTTCTCCCCAACCAGTACTAATCCTTCAAATCTCTTCCAGGATGACAGGTAGAAAATGCATCTTAGCCCTATTTTTATTGTGCTTAGAAGTTTGAACATCATTTTAGTCTTTATTATTCACTTGTATTTTTCTCGTCAATCTTTAGTTCATGCCCACTTTTCTGTTGAGCTGTTCATCTTTTTCTTAGGTACTTTTTTAGTATTTTATCCTAACCTTTGTAATACTGTACTTTAAAAATATATTTTTGCAGTTTAATCTTTGCCCTTTAACTTTGTTTATGGAATTGTTTGTTGTTGTTGTTAATCTCTACCTGAGGATATTTTTTCCATTGCTTTTCAGAAAGAGTGGAAGAGAGGAAGGGGGGGAAGGGGAAAGGGGGAGGACAGAGAGAGAGAGAGAAAGAGAGAGAGGAGAGAAAGGAGAGAGAGAGGGAGAGAGACATCGATGCAAGAGAGNGAGGACAGAGAGAGAGAGAGAAAGAGAGAGAGGAGAGAAAGGAGAGAGAGAGAGAGGGAGAGAGACATCGATGCAAGAGAGACACACATTGATTGGTTGCCTCCTGCACACACCCCAAGTGGGGCCAGGGATAAAACCTGGTATGTGCACTTGACCAGGAATTGAACTTGAGACCCTTCAGTGCTCAGGCCGATGCTCTGGCCAGGGCAACCTTACTTTTAGAATTTTTTTTCCATAAACACCTTTTAAGCTTTTATGTAGACAGCTATATCAATATTTTGGTTTTGTGTTCATTTTTTTACTCTGATGTAAGGCAGATTTGCATTCATTCCTTCATATGTTCTAGGCAACAGGATAAATGCTACATCAATCTTATCCTTTAAAAGTTCTCAGACTTTTTTTTTTTTTTTAATCCTCGCTTGAGGATATTTTTTCATTGCTTTTCAGAGAGAGTGGAAGGGAGAGAGACAGACACATTGATGTGAGAGACACATCGATGGGTTGCCTCCCACACGTGCCCTGACTGGGGCTGGGGATCGAGCCTACAACCGAGGTATGTGCCCTTGGCCGGAATCAAACCTGGGACCCTTCAGTCCGAGGGCTGATGCTCCAACCACTGAGCAAAACAGGTTAGGGCAAAAAGTTCTCAGACTTTTAAAAAAAAGTTCTCACACTTGGAAAAAACTAAGTTCATGCTTTTAAAATCTCAGAATCATAGACTTTTACAGCTGGAAAATACATGAAATATCCAGGCCAATCCCTTCACTTTACAGCTTGGGAGAGAGGGGGCTTCTGAGACCCAAAAGACCACATTGACCCTGGTCAAAGAAGAATTAAAGGCAAAGTCAGGAAAGAAAGCTGAGGCCCTCACTGCCAGTCTGAGCAGAATGGGCACTTAGAGAGTTCCTCAGTTTCCTCATCTGTGAAACAGGACCAATATCCACTCTACATGACCTAGAGGGCTGTTGTAGATCAAATGACATCTGTGAAACTTTCCCTTGGTACACAGTAAGCCTGTGAGGAATAGCTTTAGTAACAGTAGTATGCATATCATATATACGTATATAGATATATATAAATACACACACACATATGTACACATGCACGTGTACATACCCTTCTCTGTTCCTGATTTCTTGCCACTAGGAGATAGACTATCAATATTTGGAATGAAGATTGATCATTAATCTTTCGGTTGTTTGGGGTTTTTTCAGCCTCTTTGCTAGCTTTGAACCTTAAGAAGCTCAGGTGTCTTTTCTTCTTTATAGATTTCCTTCCAGAGTGGTAGATAAGGAGATCGGCCATGCTGAACTGACTTCATTATCTGTGGGAACCAAAATCTGGCAAAGAAGTAACCCAATTTCCTTGTAAAAGTTAAAATAGAAAGGGAGATACACATACACACACACACACACATATATATATATATATGTTCAAGATGTCGACAAAATCTGCCTGAATAGCAGAGCCAAGATTTTTCAGAGTGAGTCACAGGAGATGATAAGAATTAACTCTTTCAATGCTAAGACAATGACATTTCACAGCCTATGGTCTTTTGCCAATGAGAATGTGATCTCAGTAGGAAGAACAAGGGTGGATTTTAACAGTGGACTCCCTTGATTTGAGTGACAAGTTTATTGCTCACTTAAACAAATCATCTAGCTGCTCTGTCCCTTGGGGCAAGCAGGGTTACTGAGAAAAAGGCTCTGGTGCCAGGGACATGAACTGGAGTGTCCATGGGGCCAAGTAGGACGTGTAAATGAGCAAAACAGGCTGGTGTAAAAGTAATACTGATAAAAATAATAGTAGCAATAATAATAGCGGGGACAACATGGAGCAGAGAGAGCTCGTCCACCCACAGGGAGTGCCTATGGCTCAGGGCCGCCTGGCTTCTGCCAAGTGAGCATGTGCTCCAAGCCTACTGATTTATAAGAGAAGCCAGAAATGCAATTTTATTGTGTAAAAATCTCCTGATTCTTCATTATTGGCTTAAAACTTTTAAAGCAGGCTAAACAAAACACATCAATAAGCCAGAATACCAGCCCACCAAATCTACCGAGGGATTAAAACACACAATCTTTTAAAAAGTATTCCATTTATGCCATCTTCCAAAAATCTGTTCATTCCTGCTAGCTTTATTTTTTCTGAAACTGCAGTTTGGAAACATGTTTTCAAAACCTCAGAAGACAGGAGAAATTTTGAGCAATTTTAAAATTGAAAAAATAAACTATATCAGGAAAAGACAACAGATAAGAATGGTGGAGCTGAGCTTAATTTTAACTCCAGAAAAATGTGAGAAATGATGTGGATAGAAAGCATAATGGGACATAACACTACAATCACTTAAAATTGTGTTTATGAAGAAATTTTAAGGTGTGAGAAACGTTTAAGTTTGAAGTTTACAGGAAAAAAACAATTCAAAATTCTATATACAAAAATTTTCTAAGTTATACCTAAAGCTGGTGAGTATATACAAAAATAAGGACAGTCTTCTGAAAAAACAACTTGGCAATACCCATCAAAAACTTCAAATATGTTCTTATTCTTTGACTAAATTACTCCATTGCTATGAATTTAACCCAGTGAAATAAAAAGAGGTACATGCCAGTATTTATGCCCAAAGATATACATCATCACATTACTTAAAATATTTAACAATCTTATAAATAATCTAAATGGCTTAAATGGAAAACAGCCATTAAAAATCATTCTTTTAAAAGAACATTTAGTGGCATAGGATTCACAATATAATGTTGAATGAAAAAAGTATTTAATATATATAGTACACTGGAAAAAGACTGAAAGAAAATATACCCAATGTTTATTGTAGTTACTCTAGGTGGTAGTCCATGGGTAATTTTTATATTTTTCCTCATAGTTTTCTTCATTGTCCATTCTTATGATGAATATATAATCAGAAAAAAAATATTATTTTCATCATGTTTTTGAAGATTATGTAATATTATAGGAACATGTTCATACAATATTAAGTAGAAAACAGGATATAAAACTATATACATATTATAATTTCTATTTTTATAAGTTAGGTGTTTTTTAGTTTTTTAGAGTGAACATGAACTTTAAAAAAGAAAAAGTTTTTAATCCTCACCCGAGGATATGTTTATTGACTTTTTGAGAGAGAGGAAGGGAAAGAGAGAGAGAGAAAAAAATTGATGTGAGAGAGAAACATCACCCAGCAGCCTCCTGTCCACGCCTGAGCGGGAATGGAACCCACAACCCAGGTAAGTGCCCTGACTGGGAATCAAATCCGCGACCTTTCAGTTTACGGGATGATGCTCCAACCAACTGAGCCACACTGGCCAGGGCGAACATCAATGTTTATAATCAGAAAAATTAGACTTTAATCTTGACTCTGTCGAGAAAATGCAGAGACAGCACTTAAAGTATTCTGTTTGCTCCATCTTCCAAGAAATCTGTATTCATGGAAGAGTAAGGAAGACGCACGTGGATAACGAATGCACGCTGCAACGTGTTAAGTAGAGTGTGTGATACCGTTTTTGTTTTTAGATATTTATGCATGGTCTAAACTTTTCATAAAGAGCACTATAACTTAAAGATATATAATATTTTAGTTAATACATAGGCTGTTTTTTAGAAAAGTTTTAGGCATACAGAAAAAACAAGCATAAGGTACAGAGAGTTTCCCTATAATATGTAATTTTTTAAAAACCCAAAACAATTACAATGCATTTGCCAGACAAAGTACTGTCAACAGTATTTGACTGGCTACCAACGATCCACTGGGTTAGAGGGGGGCTTCCGCCTGCTGCCCTTCCCACCATGAAGTGGAGTTTATTTCCCCTCCCTTGAACCTGGGCTGGCATGATGACTTGCTTTGACGAAAAGATGGTGACCAAAATGATAAACTTTTGTATAGGCATAATGGTGTTTATACCTAGACATAATGGTTACGTTGAACACTTTTACCATATTTGTAGTAGGAGCATGGGTTGCCTTTTTATTTAAAAAAAAAATCATTACAAAAGGAATTCAGATTTGTTATTTTTTTTTAAATTTTAAGTTTAAAAAGTAGACAATGAAAGACTTTCTTCTAGAAACACCCTTTAGAGTTAATTGCTCTCATGGGTCTTACTTTTATTATCAAGAAATACAAAGTGGCAAGTTAAGGGGAAAAAAGTACATCAAAGAGAAGACTGAAAAGAATTTCCTGTATAAAACTGTCCCCGGTCTACAGAAGTGACTATGTTAGGAGACAATTCTCCATGAGTCTCTTGCAAACAGAGGCACTGGCTTTTTTGCAGACTGTGTTTTCAAGAATATCTGTAGAGCAAATAGCCTTGGAAGGGAGAAATAAGGTTTCCCTTTGGAGTAAAGCACAGACATGCTTCTGCCCGTTACAAAAGATTTGGGTTCCCTAACTTGGGGTTCCTCTCCTGTAACACAAGCTACTGCATGTGGAGTGTCACTTGACCCTCTTCACATCACCCTCTGGGAAATTGGAGCTTAGGGAACCAATGCAAAATAATACTCTAGCTACTGCTATTTCTCTCGTCTTTGACCCAGGAGTCCTGTGTTTTTTGCCAGCATCCATGACACTGGCAGAGTTAATTTGTTGGCCTGCAGGCTCTTCAGTTCTTGACACATATTTTTGTGAATATGTTTCTTTAAGCCACTTTTAAATGAAAAATGTGTTGGTTTGTCTCACCTCCATTGCTCCAACCACTGGCCTATCAACCAACTGCTTATGCCATGCCATGAATTTTCTCCACTTATGGCCAACAGAGACAATTGCCTGTCATCAATCCTACAGAATTCTCAAAAAATATATATGCATTGTTTCCCTTCTGAAGAAAATGAAACTTTGCTCTCTGCAAGGATCAAGCAAGGGAGAAAAATATGTGAAGCCAAGCTCTAAGAGAGTGAAAAACCATGCACCTGCAAAACGCACAGCACAAGCACATCTGGCAAAAGAATCCACAGCAAAGGGGAAAATGGAATAGGAAAATGTGCCTACATTCCAAGGTCAGGGTCTCAGAAGTGAACAATCCACTCCTCCGTCCGCAAGCATTAGGATGGAAATGCTGACATTCGATTAATCCAGAAAATGAAAATTAACCTCTCCCAGACTGTGCAGACAGCTCTGCCATGTGAGTGGAGAGCATGTCCAGGTTTACTGGCAGGCAAGTTACAGCAGAGCCTTTGGGATTTGTCCTGTGTCTCATCTTCCATCTGGAAAGAAAGCTGGCATGATTTTCAGAATACTGCTCTTTGAGATCAAGGAAATGACCTTAGGCTGCAGCATGACAACAGTTGGCTAGGAAAAAAATCACTGACAAGAACAGAAAACCCACATATACAACTTAAAAGTGACTGAATTTCTGTCAAAGTCTTTACCATTGAGATTGATTCTCACTGGCTGGGATGAAACCTCTTGAAGGCTCAGGCACAAAGTGACCTCTCTGAGTGCTTTCAAGGGAAGAAATGTGAAAGGGGGAACACATGGAAACTTACCCAATGGTCGGGCTGATGTTGTGGTCAAAGTGATCCTGGACAAATCGACACACAATGCTTGATTTCCCAACCCCGGTGTCCTGGAAAAGAATGACGACACACCATGAAGACCAACAGTGCCAATTATGACCTAGTATAAACACAGAACCAGAGGATAGGAGAGGTCACCTCTGGTTGAGGCGGGGGGGGCAGCGTATATTTTCTTCTATTTCTTACCAGTAATTTCTACAATGCAATTGTATTGCTTTCATAGAAAGAAAAAGAGTATGGTAAAAATAAGTTTTAGAAATATGTCCTACATATATGCAATAATTAAACTAGAATTAGTATGTCCACAATACATATATTTCCAGAAATTTTAAAAATTCTTAGAGCAGTCTAGAGAAGTATGGCAACACATCACATTGTTTTGGTACAGATAGAATTTATTTTGTTCAAAACCTTAGCATTCAAAAACTGTGTAATCTATGTTTCTAGGTATCACCCTGCATGATCTGTGAATTCTAATTTCCATATTTTTTTAAGTTTTTTTTTTATAGATTGAGATTGAGATTGAGAGAGAGAGAGAGGGAGAGAGAGATATTGATTTGTTGCTGTACTTATCTATGTATTCATTAGTTGACTCCTGTATGTGCCCTGACTAGGGATTGAACCTACAACCTTGGTGTATCAGGATGAGGTTCTAACCAACTGAGCTACTGGCCAGGGCTCTAATTTCTGTATTTCTAACATTTTCTCTTTAGAATCTGATGTTTGCATAATGATCCCCAGTTTTGCTTAATTATATGAAGGTCTTATCTCAGCTCTTTCTCCATTAAATAATTCTTCTAAGCTGATTAGGATAGAAGTCTACTTACATATTGGAAATCAAATATATGTGTTTCTATCCACTCCCTCCCAAAACCCTTGCAAATGGTTTAAGGAATAAAATATACAAATACACAAGATCCAAAAGATAGGAGAAGAGATAACACCAGACAAGCAATGTCCACGTAAAGCACTTGGCCGAATGGTCAGTGAGAAAGAAGAGTTGGAGCCTTACGTGCCTGCAGGGAGAAACAGCTAATGAGAATCAAGTCAATTCATGCCACAGAGTCCTGTACATATCAAGAACTGAGGGAGCAAGTGAAATCAGGGTCAGTGAAAGGTTCACACAAACGTATCCTTAGCGCCCAGGCCACATACCAGAGGACAGACCCTCCTGATGGGAGGGTGACTCTTCAGGAAACCTGCACGGGACAGCAGTTGGGCTTGGGCACCTTAGATACAGCTCAGGGAGCCCCGGCGCCCTTCCCTGCCCTGCGCAAGCCCCACAGAGGAGTGAGGGTTCCCATCTAGGTAAGAGGAGAAAGGATGCGGGTCCTGATCCTGGGAGTCTCCCAACTGAAGGCCGTGTGTGCGGCAGATGACAAGCCTCGGTGCAAACAGAGCTTTTGCTACACACTTTAATCTTGTGAAAAAGAGGCAGTCAGCTAAGAAATACTGGACAGTTATACACACAAAAAGGAGCAGGATGCTCACTCAGAACGTAAGACTGAACTTACTCTCAGAAATTACAAATGTAACGGTAGAAATGGAAATTTCAAAGGAAGAGTTACAAAATAAAGTTGGGGGACTGTCCAGAAAGGAGAACAGAGCAGTTGCCAGTAACAACTCTTCTGAGAGGGGCAGCAAGGCCAGAAGATGCAAGGTTCGCATACTATGCACACAGAAGTCCTCGTCAAAATGTGCTTATCTGAAAGGCTGGAACATAGAGTCGTTTTGAGATCTGTAAGTGAAAGGGGAATGAGACATATTTAGCCCAAAAAGAAAAAAATAGTCATACAGTTCTCTTAGATTAAAGGCACAGCTTTAAAAGCCTAACTATCGAGGAGAAAATGTTGAAACTCAGAGAAATGTGTTACTCCTTAGAAACTGAAATATGAAATGAGATCTGAAATACCAACAGGCAATCTGAATTATTTTTGCTCCTTCTTACTCCTATGCGTAGGGGCCATTCCAGCAAACCTGGGGACGCTGGCTGGCGGTACTCATCAGGAAAGCATTCTCCAGAGGTCTCCCATGCCAGCGAGAGCGGCCTGCGGGCTCTGGGCCACAATGAAACAACTGCACCAAAAGCCGTTTATCTGCAGTGTGCAGATCGATGTGCAGAGTTCAGAGAGGAGAAGACAGAATTAAAACTTCAGCTCCTCAGGTTCCAAATCAATGCAGCTGCTATTTCTGAGCTGCACCCTCGGTATAGATTCCGGCTAATGTTCCCCTCACTCCCCCAAACCACAACTCAGTTCTTTTTATCTCAGTTGCTTTTAAAACCCCCTGTGGATCCTGGCCCTCCTTTGAAACTGAAGAACTGTGCTGCCCTACCCTTGAAGACAAGGAAAAAGCACTCTTATAAAGTGAATTGTTTTCTGCGAACTGCCAAGTAGGCAGAGCGGGGACCTCTCCCCAACACTGACCACACTCATTTTTATTTTTATGTCACCATTCTCATGGGGTGCACCCCTCTCCCACTGTAGACAGCTTTCAAATTTATTATCTCACAAGAAATGCTAGATGACTAATCTCTGGCCTCTCTTCACCCACTGAAGCCATTCCCACAAGGGAGAGGCAGGTTAATGTGAGGGTCTGTCTTGTCCCTCTCTAGACCTCTCGATCACAGTTCGAAATTCTCTTTCTCAGGGCTCTTCTACTCATCCATCGTTCACTGGGCCAGCAAGCAATCACCAAGTGCTACCTTCCATGTGCCCATAGTAGGCGAGCCCTGACATGGGAAATAACACGGCCCCTCCCGAGCTTCCTGGTCTCACATCTCACTGAGAGCAGCCTTCACCGGTTCTGGGCCCAATAAAACAGCAGCAACAAAAGCCGTTTATCTGCAGTGTGCAGGTCGATGCGCAGAGTTCAGAGAGTTCCACAGCCCTGAAAGGTGCCTGACAGAGGTAAGTGCCTGCAGACAGTGGTGGGCAGGACTGCTCTGCCTGTGGCTAATCCACTGCCCAGAGCTCAGGAGGCAAATCCTTACCTCCCAGGCTTTGTTCCTTTTTGGCCTTCCTTGGTGTCCTTTCAGCTTACACCAGGCTCGCCCTACTTCCAAGCTGAGAAAAACGTCCCTGTGAGATGCCTCTACATCTCAGGCCCGCACGGCCGTCCCCCCTATAAGCAGCATGGCATTTACTCTCTGTGGCTGGCCTTGGGTGTACACGGCTTTGGCTACTTTGTGTGTCTGCACAGTCAGGACTCTGCTCTGGGAAGCACATTTTGGAGTCTATCCATTCACTCTGCGCAAGGGCTCTGCTCAAAACAACTGGCTTCAAATCCCCCAAACAGCCAAACAGCTCCTGCAAAGGTGACCTTCAAAACACCCTTGAAGACAAAAGCTTCAAAAGTCCTACCTTGTCCATCTCTACTCATCACCGTCTACAGGCAACTGAAGCCAAAACACCAGCTTTTCCGGGTAGCAAAGCGGCAAACCTGCCCAAACTTGGATCTAACAATCAATTCTTCAATCAAATACACTCAGTGTTTTTCTTTTTACAGTTTAACTCTCAACATTTCTCTCTCACTTGCTTATACATTTGATAGGAAAAAAATAACAGGACAAAAGGATAGGCAAAGTTTTAGTTTCTTTCAGAAAAGAAAATATTCTTACAAAAAAAACACACATAGCCTCAAATAACCTCTGGCCAGTGGCTTTGCGACAGCTCAAGAAATGACCTCCAGAGCCTCCTGCTCCCAGACCCATTGCTGTTCCCCTGCTGACCACGAGGGGAAGGCCCTGCCCAAGGATTGCTGAGGAGGCCTGAAGCCAGGATGCTGGGCAGTTTTCATGAATCACTCAGCTCTGTGATTTCCTTTCCCTGAAGGAACCTCATTCAGACGATGACACATACACAAGAGGAAAGCGCCGCCCGTGAATCATGACTATCACGCAGCAACACATAAACGTTTAAAGCAGGGGGAGAGAAGAAAGCCTGCTGGGTGACTAAAGGCGTCTGTGAAGCAAGAGAAAGGATGAGAAAGGAGGCTCAGCATTCTTTAAAGGCCACTTTATTCTTAGTGGACTTATAGCAATGGAAGGAAACTTGTCTACGCGTGTATTTTTTTCCATTCTATGAGAATACCGAAGCCCATCTTGTCCAATCTCCTAGTTTTGCAAAAGAGGAAGCCGTGTTTCTTCCTCAAGGTCACAGAGCTGGCTGGAAGAGTCAGAACCAAATGGTCTGAGTCCCAGTGAAAACCTCTTAAGGTTCTGACCAAGTTAAATCGCCTCCCTGCCAAATGTAAATTTCTTCTAAAGGAAAATGTCCATTTTCTAGAACTCGCAAGCAATACTTTTTTAAAAAATATATACTTTTATTAATTTCAGAGAGAGGAAGGGAGAGGGAGAAAGAGAGAGAAACATCAATGATGGGATCACTGATTGGCTGCCTCCAGCACACCCCCTACTGGGGATCAAGCCCGCAACCCAGGCATGTGCCCTGACCGGGAATCGAACCCTGACCTCCCTGTTCATAGGTCAACACTCAACCCCTGAGCCATGCCAGCCGGGCAAGGAATATTTTTATTACTGCCTTCCAGTTTTACCTTCCAGAGTCTTATCATGTGTTCTCAAGAAACAGCTGCTGGGTGTTATTGTTGTTGTTTTTGCCTGTAATACAGAGGACATACTACCAGCTACTGGGGGGGG